ATTGCAACAGCAATAATAATTTTTTTTGCAAAAAACGTGCAAAGTAAAAGCTAGCTATATGTTGCTTTTTTGCTCTAATAAAATGACTAAATGCAATATAATAATTGTTTATCAAGAAGTAGCATCCTGTCTACAGAATCTCTATGAAAAGAGAAATTTGGCTGAATTCAGAACCAAGTGCTATCGCATGAAAACTCTCATGAGCCTCACATGATATATAATGATTTGATGATAAAAATTAAACGCTCTTTTATGAAAAAATTGTTTTTACTTTAATTGTTAAGCATGATAATCATAAAAATGACCATGAATGTGTAATGTATACTTTACAATTTTCAAAGTGAAGTAATTACTGAATGCTTATACTTTATTTTTTAGATGATATTACACAATGCTCATGAGGATTTTAATACAAACAGCAACAGCACTTGGTTGAATCACATGCATGATTGCTATAAAACAAACATAAAAATACATTCATGATTTTGGATGGTTTTAGTAAATACCGTTTTGACAATAGTCATCAAAACATTTACTTTTTTTTATAATAAATTGTTATTTTCATTTGTTTTATACAGTTATACACATAATTCATATAGCAATGACTGTGTCATTAACATGAATGGTATTTATCCTAACAGAAGAATGGTAAAGGCAAAGAAAAGTTTCAATAACATGATTGATGTAAATTTTTTCTCACTTGATGCATGTTAAGATTCTTTTCTTGTTTACTTATTAGGATTTTGAACAAAGTTTGAAACTGATAACGGTGAATAATCATCACTTTCTTCAATAACTTGCTCAATTTTCAAATCACATCAAAGTTCATATATTTATTACAGACCTTATACCACAGAACAAAACAAGTTTAGAACTTTAGTATTGGTTACGTTAATTGGGTACGTTGACTGGTAGCTTGAGCAATTCTGATCCTTGAGATCCTGCCTCCAGAAGTTATTTTTTCACACAACATTATAGAATTTGAAGTTACTTTTTTTAGTGGAAAATCACAAGGTAATGTTTCAAAAAATTTCAAACGAGTCATAATCATCATCCTGGTCATAGTCATACGTTTTGATCCTTGAACATTTGATAAACATTCAAATCTTTGCTTGTGTTAGAAGTGGGTCAATTTTACATAGTTTATATCAAGATATACAATGTACACTTTCAAATAATACAACAGTCAGGTAGTAAGTTGACAATGACAGTTAGAGGCTAGAGCGTCTGCTTCTCACAGTAAGGTTAGACTATCACTGCTGTCGCCTGCTGCGAGTGTGCTCGAGTAAACCGTGATCAACGCCATCTCCTAGCGAGATCATTCATTCGACGTAATAATACGTGAAAAATAAGAAAATTGCTAAACTAAACGGATCGAAAAAAGGCTCTGTGGGAGCATTCATTTTGTTGCTCTGAATAACTGAGTCAAATTTCAGTTCATTTCGTTCAGCCGTTTCTCCGGAAAACGTGTTTGAAAATTTCAAACACGTTTTCCGGGAAATCTGGTCGGTGGAATTGGATGAAAATTTTTTCTCATATTCATAGCAACAATATAAATGCTCCCACAGAGCCATTTTTTGAAATTCGATTTAGAAAAAAAGATATTAATTTAACAAATTTTGCGCCTCTGTCGGTAAAAAATGTGGGGTACAGACCACCTTAACGAGAAAATTTTTAAATATTAATGTTTATCCGGGTTATTACGATATTTTTATATTATTTAGAGATATAGAACTCTTGAAACGACAGAAAGTAGAGTAAAACGAACAAATAGAAATAGCAAAAATAAAAGTGATGATATGCAGCGTATGCATACGCCCGTGCGATAACCTTACTTTTCATTACCAGAAAGTTCGACTTATGCATCGGAAAAGGGAGCATAAATATGAACTTTTTTTTTATAATAAATTGCGTTTGCCTCAGAAGGAGCATTTAAACTAGCTTTATTTTAAAAGACAACAATCAAAGCCGATTACATGTAGTTTTCACAATTATTACATTTTTTACAATAATTTACAATGTTTACTTATAGCACTATACAATAATTTTGCACTTACAAAGAGATCTTCTCACTTTTGGGTCACGGAACTTCACCAAAATTTTTTCGGAGTCTCGAGGAACCTAATAATAAAGCTCCCTATGATTAGTTTTATTGAATGGGCCTTAAGGCCCATTTTAAACGGGGTTTTCTCTTTTATTTAAAAATCTTTGAGACTTTCTACATCAAGATAGGAGCACTTGAACAAAAAATGCTAAGGTCAAAAGTTTTAAAATTTTTCAAAGAATTTGTCTGAATTTTTTCAGAATTTTTTGAATCGTCCATTACCCTTTTTTAGAGGTTTATGAATTTCGCAAGAAAAGCATCAAATTAGGGCATCTGAAAAAGGGTAATTGACGATTCGAAAAATTCTGGAAAAATTCAGACAAATTCTTTGAAAAATGTCAAAACTTTTGATCTGTGCATTTTTTTGTTCAAGTGCTCCTATCTTGATATAGAAAATCTCAACGATTTTTAAATAAAATAGAAAACCCCATTTAAAATAGGCCCCAAGGCCCATTCAATAAAACTGAGCATAGGGAGCTTTATAATTAGGTTCCTAGAGACCCCAAACAATTTTTGGTAAAGATCCGTGACCCAAAGGTGAGAAGGTCTCCTTATTACTTGAAAATTTGTGAATGGTGATACCTGCGTCTAAATGTGGTTTGGCTATTAAACTCTCGATGTCGAATGAACGAGTGATATTTAATTTTTCGAGCTCCTTTAATAATAGTGATCTCTCATATTAATGAGAGTTGTAATTCCAAATGTTAGGCTGTCGTTTATATTTTTGCGTTGAAGCGATTCGTCGAGACTTTGACGATTTGCGCGCATGCCATTTAATGTGACAATGATCGACCTTGGGAGACGTACTAACTAAAACCAAGGCTGTTTGGATGAAATTACTTTTACTATTAATAACTATTTGTTGATTGTAACGAAGATGAAACCGAAAAAATTATTCTGCGATTACTATTAAAATAGTAGATTGCTCACTTTCAGGCTTTCTTTTTTCGCTTCATAGGTAAAAGGCACCTAGTGCATATAATATTTCTCGCAAATTTCCCAGCTGAAATTAACTTTTTCGTTTTGACCACAGGGATATACTCGATTGATAATTATACGTGTTCTAAGGCTTGGTAGTTTTTTATTCCCTGGACTCGTAAACTATTTTTTTGAATTTCAAGATTATTTTTTGTGGAAGGTTTTCTCAAGGTTGCAGTGCTTCTTTGGAACATTTATACATAAATGTCTGAAAATGTTTACGAGATTTCACTATCGTTTCGGCCGCCGGAACGAAAAAGGTTAGTTTCGGCTGGGGTATAGTACATTACGGGTCTAGGGAGCGAAAAACTAGAAAGCCTCAGAGCACGTGTAATTATCGGCTGAGGGGAAGAAAATGTGTTAAATTTCGTCCGTTTGGCCCGAAACGGGTTAAGAATAAGGATCCGGATTTAAGGCTTTTATCTGTTTTTTGTTCTTTTTTCGACGTTTTTTGCACATTTTTCGGTACTAATTGGCGCCTCCAAAGCCCCAAGTCGTAATAATGATCACATCATTACAAAAACTTATAAGGCAGTAGTTAACATTTTAAGAAAGCTTTGAGAATCGTAAAAGCGTGTAGAGTGCTCAGAAATGTGTTTTTCCGAAAATTTGAACTACTTTGAGTTTTCAACAAAAAAGCTTTCATGCACTTGTTTTAAGTCACTATAATTAGCTAGAAATTATTTTAATGTTCGCAGTGAGCGTATATTTCGGAAATACGTAAACTTTCGGCCTCTGAAAAAGGGTAATGGACAAAATCTACCAAAATTCAGGGACATTTCTGATAAACCAACCAATATGTTTATTATATTGGATACAAAAAAGAAACATTTTGACGCCTTAAACAAATAGCACTGATAGAAATGAAAGAGAAATAGTATTGACGCCAATAGTAATTGGCGTTCAGACGTGATTTACCTGGCTACGAAACTTTCAGATTCAGAAAATAAAATTACTTGCTATATATGGTTCAAATTTTTGAAACAGTTAAACTGTCATTTTTGGTCATTAGGTCATTATTAATGTTGAGTATTTCTACGGCGATTTAATGTCCTTAAATATATAAAAATCTCGCAGACAAGATTGATAACTTTAGAAAAATTGTTACGATTGTAGGATAGGGATAATAAACTTACTATTTTTATAATGGATTAATACGATAATATTTTATATTTAATAAAATTTAAACATATTTTGTTTTTATCGGATACCATTATAATAGTAGGAATTTATAGAAATAGAAGCATGCTGTTATTAAATCTTTAATGTCAGACTTTTTCAATACGTTCAATCTAAAACATGATTCCAGCTACTACCCAAGAGCTAATGTATTAAAGTATACAACACATACTATAAACTTAAAATGCCTCATCTTTCGTATTTTGATAACATTCAATTATTTTCAATAAGATTTTACCTCATTTTAAACATTTTATTTACATATAAATATACAAAACAGCCCAGTGCATACGGTTATGAAGTTAAAACCAAAGACTTATAATTATTTAAAAATTGTATTAATATGAAGATTTTTTTCGATCTCGAAGTTCGAGATAACGACGCTGTTTTTATGGCCAAATTTAATTTAAAAAGTTCTAATCGAGTTTATTTCTTACATAATTCAATTTATTAGTGAATAACAATCGCGTCAAACTCTGAAATATTTCGTTTCAAAAATCATTTTGTGTCTATTAAGTGGGCAATTATTTTACTATTTAATAGCTTCACCCCAGCATTCACGTTTTGTTTCAAAAATTTCTTTGGCATGATATTGTATTACAACGAAATTATTTTGAGCTATGACTGTTTATAAAATAGAAGAAAAATTAACATTTATTTGATATTCACATTTATTTTAATATTAATTTTCCAAGTATATAACTTAAATTTTTTTTCCAACTACTTGGATCTTATTATTTTACAATTGAAAATTTAGTAGCATATTATTAATAACTTTTGTGAAGTGAAAGTAGATTTTCCAATTTAATTGGCGCTGGAAACAATACATATTATTGAATTTTTTTCTTCATTTCCCAAGAAGTACATTAATTACAAGTATATTATAACCCTGCAACAAATTATAGTGTGATCTACTATTTAAAAAATGTACAATTAACTTTGTGTGTAAAATGACTGCTGATTGATCATCAATCGCCTTCGAATGATTCATGAGTGTTCCTATACTTTTTCCACACATATCATTACATAATATATTATATATTTATATATTTATACATAAGAACTTTTGGCCATCAGCTATGTTATCATAAATATTACACTATCGTATTATTAGACATACACTATTTAATTTCAATCGTTTCAAATTATTTTAAACGTGCATGAAAGCGTTGACAGAGCTTCACACTTCATGTTTTTCCAATCCAACATTTAACTCCAATTTACACTAACACCGTGACTCATCTAAATGTGCTATTCTTTTGTCGAAAGCGATTCTGTGCTGTTTTCCGATGTGAATCCGTTTATGACTTGCATGCATCCGTCTATAGCGGCACCGCCGGAACTCGTTGGCGAGTTGCTCGTGCTTCTTGCTGTGTGGTTTGCCAACGAGTCTGGCGCCATTGGCGCTGTCGGGGACACCAGACCCTCTTTCATGCGCTTTTTCTGTTTCATTCGGCGATTCTGGAACCAAATTTTCACCTGTGTCTCGTTCAGCGCCAGGGCCGAGGCGATTTCAATGCGACGGGCTCGCGTCAGGTACTTGTTGAAGTGAAATTCCTTTTCGAGCTCCGTCAATTGTTTGTTGGTGAAGTTGGTTCTCCCAGTATTGTTGTTGTACGCAGCGGGTGAACCCACCGCTGCCGCAGTTATATTTAGCGATAAACCGTTCGACGCTGCCGATGTTGCCACACCAGAGTTCGAGGCTGGCATATTGCAAGAATTGTTGGGTGTAGACGAGGAATAAACCTGGCTTATATTTCCGAGTTGCAGCGCCGGAATATTGTAGTCTCCCAAAATTGGATTATTTTTTGGAGCTGTAAAAAAAAGTATAACTCAATTAGCGATGATTGTTTTTCATAAATATTTCATAATTTGATCTTTAAATTGTTTTTTACGACAATTTCTGTTATAGTGCTGCTAAACTAATAGTACTTCAACATTTAAGGGGTCAAACGGTGAGGGTCACTACTAATAAAAGCTATTCTTATGATAGATCAATGAGTATTACTGCCATCTTATGGGATTAAATGCCGATCTATAACAATACGTAGATTAAAATATCGCTTCAAATCTGTTGGTATTCGAGCGAATGATTAGAAAAGCTGATGCATCTGTTGCAGCTGTTCACGAATTATTCAGTAAATGTTTAATTAAAGGGCTGAATTTTCCTATGCTTCAATAAAGTATTTCTCTCGAATAATTGTTATGATTACTGACCCTACAGTCAGATATGTCACTTTTTTTCTAAAATAATTGTTTAACTTTTTTAAACTAAAGTATAAATATTATCATTTTTATCAAATATATGCAGGTAATACATTTTACGATAAATATTATGATTGATTCATAAATGTCTTCAAATTTCTACATGCATCAACACAGACAATTTCAATTAAGAAGATTCTTATTGTATATACTTCAAGTGCTTTCAAATTTTTTTCTTCCGCAATTGCCTAATGTGCTATTCGTCCCTTTTTTCTTCTTTCTCTTCTCGATAATGGTATTATAAAAATTCGGATGTGCGAAGATGCTCGCTTGTCAATTTACTTAATGGAAGAGAGAAAACGAGGTACAAAAAAACTGTTACCTCTGGTGTTAGGCGTGATATTATGTCAACAAGAAGGTACGCGTATATTTTATCTTAAGAAGTGTAGGCTTAAGCATACGTTTGTGTTCATTTTCAATGATATCATTATACATAAATAACCGAATATTCGTCAATGAATATTGAATATTCCACTGGGTTCGCTGATGATATCCATTAGAAAACTTAATGGTAATTCATCTCAATGCAAAACAAGTAATGTATAAGTGAGTTTCTGCAATTTTTTTTCTTGTTTAAGCGACGTCGCGTTTGCGTATACCGAGCAAATTATTTCCTAAATTGATGAATGAGACCTTACATAAGAGAAGAAAAAAGTATCCACGACTCGCGTGCGACTTCTCACCTCAGTGGAGCTTAATAGAACTTGTCTAACTTGATTATTTGCTAAGCAACTCACCAGAATTCGAGTGCCAGGCGTTACCTAAGTGACTGATAGCTTTTTCACTTATTTATATACATAATGTGTACCACTTTTTCACCCGCTTCTATTGCATGATCAAACATAAAATATTACTTTCTGAATTTTCATAAAATTTAATAACACAAAAATATATTTTATTCGCCCTAGGGAATAAATTATTTACATTGGCGCAGTTTTTACTTCTCCGATTGTATAAGACCTTAATTCAAAATTGCAAAATAAATAGCTCGAACAGTGCCCGAGGCCAGGTGATTTCTAAGCAGAGATTGCGAGTCCATTGACTGCATTATACACACTGCCGTCGGTCGGAAATTATTTGTCGCGCTGACAAGTGGGTGCTGTTATATGTATGTGTATGTATATGCAAAGACGATAAGGTTGACTCGAAGCCCCCTCGAGGTTGGACACTGCTGAAGGTGCACACACAAAGGCGAGGCGTCGACGAGCCGCTAATTATCTCTCTCTGTACGTCCTTTCGTCCTCTTCGATATGTCACGAAGTCTCTCCTGCGCGCCCAAAAAAAGAAAGGAAGAGGTTTCGAGACGTATTCGCGATTATGATATTGTCGGATGACGAGCAGCTTATAAAATATTTGACTTCGATATTAATGTATGCGACCGACTATATGCGAAAAAAAGTTCGAAATTGATATATGTTGTTTCAATAATCAAGCGACTAAGAGCATAAGAGATTGTTTTCTTTGCTTCTTCTTTGTGGCTAAATTCTTTGAATAACTCAAGGGCAAAAATTTCGATCGTTTTGAATTTTAATAAAGCTGTTGATATTTTTTAATGCTAGATCGAGTGAGCCATGTTATCATGGAAGTAATAAAACGTGTTGGTATATTATCACCAGCATAGCTAGCTCGGTGGCTATTTTTGTTATTATTGAAGGTATAATTATTATTGCCGCTGTTAAAGTTAATTTTGTTATTACTAAGAGAAGAAAATAATGAGGACGCGTGCGAGTTTACTCGTAGTCCAGTGCAAGGTGTATATCGATTTTTCGTTTTTCTCACCGGCTCAAGCACAGATTTGCATTATACAGTTAAACTGAGCATACGGTCGTTGCAAGTGCTAAGCTGCACGTGGAACATTGTATTCAAATGGATATTTAAATTTTTTCATCCTTACATTTTGAACTATTACGTCTGGGTGCGTTGTTAGAAATATTCAATAATGAAAGAGAGAGAGAAACTTTTTTGAATAATTTATTAATTGTAACCTATATGGTACAAATCATTTCCGCATTGCGCTTGCGAAGAGGATGTGTACTGTTTTTTAAAATTTGTCATGCTGCAGTTTGTTTTTTCCGGCTCAAAGCTCTCTATGTAGTTACATCAACGAAACACCTCGTCAGAATGTTGCAACCAACAATTTTTTACTTTCGTTAAAGTGGATATTTTTATTAATACCGAATACCGAATTGATTTCTGCACAAATATAGCGACCAAAATATGATTTATTTAAAAGACAGGATATTTACGTACACATTTTTATATTTCGCATCAATCGGTATATCTTTTTAAGTAAAGTTAAATGTTCCACGCAGATGACTAATATATCTACGAATAGTAATAATAGTAAAAAACGACATGATTTTATACGCTGTGCGTTAAGGCACGTGATTACATATTTGATGGAAAAGACGATAGCGATCAAATACACCTGGCCCGTTGCGTATTAGTGTGAGGGTTGCTTTCGGAACACTTATGAGGTAAGCTACACGGGTTATTATTGCGTGCGTATACACAGGTTCGAGGGTTGTGAATCGTGCGACTGTCTTAATTTCAATAATTTGGACTCGGTTGAAAAAGTTGCAAACAATAATATTTAATAATGCAAAAAATAGTTAAAAATTCATTGTTCCCTATTAATTTGAACATTTAATCGCCTGAATTGATCCATCGTTGAGTTGAGAAGTATCTCTTTCAAAGTTTGACGCTCGTGTCACGAAGTTGCATGCTCCGCGTGACCCACAAAATGAATCAAACTTTTTTAAAAGGCTTTGAATAATATTTGCATTGCATAATGCCAGGACGAGGGGTTGGACGATACTTTTCGTGCTCATCTGTATGTATGTATTTCGTGCGCGCGTGAAATTTAATGCCACTAGAACCGAGGATCATTCGACAGATGAGTCTCGTTTGTTTGTACAACGGATTGACTTTCGTCGCTTTTTTTGTCATATTTGCGTGCGTCAGCGAGTGCGTAACCGCTCGAAATTATACAAATACTAGACTCCATGCTAGGAATTTTTGTCGCATACTTCCAACGTTTTCACGCACTAATTTATTGTTTTTATCGAATTTTTATTTATACAATACATAAATTAATCCAATGGCTGAAATAACAAAACCTTTCTTGCAGGACCACGTAACCCACTCCGGGTGTGTACCTTTGCGTATTGAGATAATTCGGAATTCTTTTTTTTTTGCTTCACTCGTGCCGAACGTCAAGAGCCACAAAGTTATTCGAATAATCTTCATTGTGTATATCAGACTGGTTGTTACGTTTGGCCATTTGTGTTTTTCTTTTGGCGTAAAAAAATCTTAATCATCAGGAAAGCCCAAATTGATGTGATAATTAATTTGATTTAAACAGAAGAGATGGAAAAAAATAAATGTACCACTTTTATGGAAACTAAAAATGTTTGCGATATGAAAGAAAATTAGCCAAGATAAGGGGTTCTTTTTTATAAATCATACAAAAATGGTTGAGCTTTCTTACTTATTAAAAGGTCAATTTGTACATCTAATTTTTTGTATTGAAGAAACGAAATAAGTTCCTGAAGGAATGACTTGTTTAATTGGAGCAATAGGCATCCAAAGAAGCAAGAATTTGAAAAAATGAGTGAAAAAGAATACTCGTGTAGAATTGACAAATCTCGGCACACCATACGAGTAGGTACGATCGTCCTACTTAGTCGCGCCATTTCGTTCGTAACTTGGAGATTAAATCGCTCACTAGCACTGCAGTGTTCTTGATATTATTATTTACAAGCTCGCCATGGAGAACGGGCCCGAGCTAAGAAATCTATAAATGACCTTATTTTTCTTCCGAGCACAAGGCACAGCGTACACATTTTTTTATGTCACTCAGTGCCGTGTGCAGGTGATCGTGTACGAAAATGCGATTATATTTACATTTTATGCTCAATTGAAATGTTACAGCGGTTAGTTAGCCACGGACGCGAGCTAGTAATACAATAAAGAATAATGTATATTTTATGCTCGAATTTGCTTATGTCAGGCCAGTGATGATGAAGCTTATTACAGCGGGGCCACGCGCGCGCGCTCCGTAAATCAACTCCTTGGAGAGGCACATACATATAGGAGCGCGAGGCTGCGATCGTATCGCGCGTACCACCTGATTAAGTCCGAATTTCGACGTGCGTGTACGTGTACATGGCGACTCTATTGTAGCGCTGCCGAGAAATAATCGAGAAATTCATAACGCTTTGTATGGATCATGAGAAAAGTGACTAGCATATATTGTACACTGCGCGCTGGCTAGAGAAGTTGTCCGCGCGAGCAAGAGAGAGAGAAAGTAGCCGAGCGTCTCAGACACGAGTTCGGAGCTTTGGAAAATTTCCAGCGATACTTTTCCAGTCTGCCGTAACATCGACGTAATAGCGCGCCAACTTATAGCGCGAGTTTTCATTAAAAAAAAAAAAATCGCTTTGCTCGATCAGCAATAGCCTACCTTATCATGCGAAGATTTACATCCAATACATGCGATACAAGCCCGAGTACATACATATACGTATCGTATATATGAAGTAGAACT